GATCTAAGTCTGTTGTCCGGAAATACTTGAACGAGATGCAATATTTGAAGCTGCTTTGACTGTTGATATTACATCTGATATACTTACAGGGAAATGCTATCAATGTAGCTATTGTCTTCATTTGGCCGGTATTGCAGAAAAGTAGTCAGTCACCTGAAATGTCATCTCTGTGACAAAGTCTCATGCTGTTGCTGAATATGTCCCTTAATTATTGATAGGTCTACAACTCAGTATTAATGGAGAGGTGTCTTGTAGAGAGAACAGTGAAGTTGGAAGCAGGAGGAAGATATAATGAAAGAAAATGTGGTTCTAGGGTATGAGGGAGGAAAGGCTTGAGAAGTTAATGCCTCTTCTGCTTTTGTTGAACATGGAATTAACGTTTCCAAAGTGTTTTTTCACTCATTTTTTCTGGAAGGACAGGTTTATAGCATCAATTAGGAATACCTGAAATCAGTTGAAAGGTAGAACTGTATGCATATTTAGTGTTAAGAAAAAAGATCTATCCATAGACAATGTAGGGGGCTACAGGTGTCATATACTCTCTGTTGCCTAGATCTTTACAAAGTTTTTTTCTACACAATTACTTTGTTCCAAACTATACAGGCGTATTTCATCCCTTATAGTGCTTTGGTCTGCTAGAAAGTCTAAATAGAAAACCACCAAAACAGACCAAGCAAGATCATGCAATCCCAACTGATCAGGTCCATGGAACACCGTACACAAGTATACTGCTGCTTTTTCTTTTTTTTCTTTTTTTTTTTTTAAATTGCTAGCATCAAATTTCTAAAAGTTATTTGCATACATGTGAATGTATTTCAAGTGACAGAAAGAGATTCATGTTGTTTTTGTCTCCTAATCTGTTGTCTGGTTCTTTAATTCTTTTTTTACCAGACAAATCAAAGTGGTTTATTACCCTCTGAATTAAAGGTATGAACATTGCACAGAATTACTTGGAGCTTTCTCTCTTAGTGATCAATCTTGAATTGAAATGGAGATTATGTATATAGCTGCTGATAATTAAGGCAGCATCTAATGTCATATTTCTATATAATATTAATATAAAAATCAGTATTTATTTTGTTTGAAAATCAGTCATATGGTAGAGGACTGTGTGGGTATAGACTGTTAAACTGACAGCATAAACTATTAAAAACATCTACTTTTCCTGATACATTTTTTTTCCCCAGATAATGTTATATCATACATACAGAGTAATAGTGCAGTAAAAAAAAAAAATGTTGTAGCTGTGGTAACAAAACATTACTTCAGATCTTGGGGTGTTTCTTTTATCTTCCAGGACCAAAAAAAAAGCTGCAAATCAGAAAAAAGTGTGTCATTACTGACAGGATTTTTTTTTCTAAGAGCAGCATTTTGATTTAGATGCGCTTTATTTTTCATTATGTGTGTGTCTGGCTTGCATACTAGTGCGCAGCAAAGTTTTCATGACCGCAAAGTGCAGGCCCAGTGCTAAACCAGCTCTGAATGCCATCTCTCCTATAAGCAGCAGTTTGTGCTTCCCAGAAATGCTGACATTAAGTTTGTACTTGCTTAACTGCAGATCCTCAAATGATGCAGCTCCCTGTTCTTTAGTGAAGTGATGCTTTTTTTTATCTCCAGGGAATATTAGGGAGCTTGTGTTGCAGGGTCCCTCTGTTCCCGAGTACTTTTTCCCTTGCTTCCACTGTCAGTCTGTCCCTCAAAACTTTTTCTTGCACAAGCTACGCTTTTGTTTTCAGTGTCCACTTTCCTCTTTTGATCTGTCATGAGTGCTAAACCTCATTTGTAACTCTTTCCCCTGCCACAGATTGCCAAATTGAATCCATTTGAACTGCCTTCCTGCTCCTATCTGTTTTCTGAAAGATTTTCATCACTGCCTGGATGGTGTAGTCTTAAAATTCAGCCCAAGGAACTGGTGGTTCTTGTAGCATTTTGAGTATTATATATTAAAAAATGCATAAGCAATAAATCTTTTTCTGTGATTCACAACGGTGGCAGTGCATACTACCCTCTGAATCAATTATAGATTTCATCAGTCCTGCTTTATATCTGCTTCTGAATTTGTTTTGAAATAGCTCTTATTTCATAAGCGTATAAGGGGTATGATAATTTGTCATTTCACTAATTTTATCTGTCTTCAGAAGTGAGATGGAGCTTGAGTTATTAAAAGTACAAGTGTTTCATTAATAAAAGCACATTTATTCCTAGCAGCTTGACAAAATTAGGGTCTCCTCTGAACCCTTACTCAGGCTTCAAGCCTTTATGCTTCTATATATGTGAAAAAAGCTTCAGAATTATTCCTTTGCAATGTTAAAATTTTTGAGAGATTAATCTCTCAAAGCTTTGTCTTAGGCATGGGGGTGTAACTGCCTTAATGAGAATTATAATGATAGTTTCACAAAAAATAGCAATCTAAAACATAAGTGTTAAAAATAGACAAAAGTTTAGGTAGGTGATATTTCATAATGGCAAGTTCCCCCTTAAGATCTATCAGGTAAATGATGCACATATTTCAAACTGTCTTAGAAGGTACTTTTACAGAACAATCTGGTGGACATCTACTGGAAAAGGAGGAAAGGAAGAATATATAAAAAGAAATTTTGACACTGCCCCTCCCAGACCTTTTTTTTTTTTTTACACTGCAACAGTGAACTATCTCTGAGTATATTCTTAGGATGAAGTTTTGCAGTAGGGCTTAGGATCAACCCTTGAGCTGTTTTCAGCTCCCACAGTTTTATATCCAGAGATTTGGAAGAAGGATTTCTAGTGCCTGTGATAGCACATTTTCCATTATTCAAATACAAGCAGAGTTTATTGGACCCTGAAGGTCGTCTTGTTGATGTTGTTGAGGTAACAGCAGAAATTGGTCTGAAAACCCAAGGTTAAATTATTTTAGGCCTGCTTTTTTTTTTTTTTTTTTTTTTTTTTTTTTATCCCAAATATTTTTCCTGGCTTTTTTTTTAGTAAACACAATAGAAAACCTCCATTATTCCTGGTATAATTTGGGAAGGCTGCATTAACTTTTTTTAGTATTTTAAAAGAGTTTGAAATTAAGGGGCTGTAGATCAATTAATCTTATTTTTATACTGGGAAGGCTGGTAGAAATTGTATTAAGAAGCAAAATTACAAGATACATGGATACATTTGTTATAGTGAAGCATTGGGAGGTATCAACATGACTTTGGAAATTGTATCAGAAACCTATTAGAGTTCCCTGGAGGGCTTGCTGAACGTTTGATAAGGGGAGATTTGTAAATTCAGTATACTTGGATTTTCAGTAAATTCTTAAGGTCATTTGACAAAAACTCTCACAGAAGCAAAATTGTCCTGAACACAAAGGAAATTTATCTTGTGAGTTTAAAAACTGGTGAAAGGATAGGAATAAAATGTCACTTTCAGAATGGAGAAATTATTTGAGTCACACAGGGATCTGTGTTGGGACCTAAGTTATGAAGATGATGTTGGAAACTGGGGAAGAAAATGAGATGGGTGACTCTGCTAATTAGTCAGGGCAGTAAAAATGAAGGTTGCATGTGAAGAATTACAGGAAAAGAATTCCAGTCACAACAGCTGACTTGACGGTGAAGTGGCAGGTCAATACAGATGAATGCAAACTAATGCACATAAGAAAAAGTGGTCCTAACTATACATAGATAAGAATGGGTTTAAACTACTTATTAGTACTCAGAAAATAAATCTGGAAGCTGCTCTGATCAGTTTTCTGAAAATTTCTGTGTAGTAGTGTCAAAAATGATAATCAAATTAAAAGAATACAGAATAAATCAGAAAACACTACCGTGCATTGTATAGCTTCCTCGGGAACTTGGTTCAGCTTCAGTTTCAGCTCAAAAGGTGCTGAGAAAGATGTTAAATGTGATCAAAGAGGTGGAATGATGTCTGTATGAGAAATGAGTCAATAGAGTAGGAGTCTTTAGTTTTGTGGGTAAGGTAGGATAGAGGACCTATAATACCACAGTTGGTTTAGACATGCTAAATGTGTAGTCAGTGTTTACTTTTAATCACAGTGTTAGAATTAGAAGCATCAAATGAAATGAAGGAATGTATTTAAGACCCAAAAATAGTTTTTCACACAATGCATAATTACACTTTGGAATTCATTGACACAAGAGATTGTGGGTGCCAAAGGTTTGCATATGTTCAAAAATTAATTAGTTATTGAAAAAGCTTACACGGATGCCTGTTAAGCACAAGGCTTCCGTCTCAAAGAAATCCTCAGCCACATGCTAGGTCTGGGAGAGTTTAATAGGAGAATCACTCTACATACTTTTCCTTATTATTTTCTTTTTGTTAAGAATCCTTTAGTAGTTGTTGTGTAACATATCCATCTGGTTCAGCAACTTCTAGTCTGAAGCTGTATGTCCATGCTTAAATCAGATAGAACCATACTAGTTCATACCCGAAGATTTGGCCAAAAAATTTGAGTTGAACTCTGTTTTTTTCATTTATGTAACGTATCAATGACCCCAAGAGATAGTGAATCTGTTAAAGTGTTTATACTGAATCAGAAGAGATAAAATTGTGATGCTTAAATAATAATTTATAGGTAGAAAATGGTATAGATTTGGGAAAAGAGAAAATATTCTTCCCTGAAGCTATTTTATTCTATTTTTGAAAGCAGTTCTCTGGGTTTAAGTTATTTTACTGATAAACTCATAAATAGACTACAAAAAGTAAGAATGTAATTTTTGGAACCATATTTACTTTCCTGTGGAAGATAGCTACTTCATATCTCGTTTTCTTTTCTTTTGATAGCATATTTAATACATGACTGCTTCATCTATGATGTGTCAGAAAACTGTATAAAGTAAAAATATGAATGTCTTCAAACATAATTTTTTGTTCATATGCATTTTAATGTAAGATCAACAATTGCTACTTACCCTGTCTTTCTAAACGTAGCTAAATTACTTTGCTGTGTACTTTGAAAAATCTTCACCTATATCCTTGCTAAAAACTACTCCTTATTTTTATTCCTTGTAACGGTGGCAACCACATGGTCACCTCAAGTGGGGATACCACACTGCGGATATGGGACTTTTCAAAACTTGGATGCATTCTGACTTTGGAAGGATATGCCCACACTATATAAGACTGCTCATGGCATTCATGCGATGATTTTGTGGCTTCTGCCTCCATGGACAACAAAAATAAAATATGGGATGCTAACATGTATAGAGTTACTGGAGAGTCTTTATTAGCTGGTTAATAGCTTTGCTTAATAACCACTGGTTTATGTTCTAGCCCAGTGAGAGAGAGATGTCTAGCATCAATTTGTGGACTTCACTTTAAGAACACAGATTAATTAAAGGGAGTGGTGCAAAAAACAGGCTTTGACGTGATTTACTAGATAAAGCCTTTACTAAATAGGGAGCTGGAAAGAATTTAAATTACAACAGTGCCAAAAAAGTATTTGCTTTTATTTGGCATCTTTTATTACAGAATCAGATTCATCTTGGTTGGAAAAGCCCTTGAAGATCCTCCAGTCCAACCATTAACCTCCCACTGACCGTTCCCAACCCCACCAGATCCCTCAGTGCTGGGTCAACCTGACTCTTCAACCCCTCCAGGGATGGGGACTCCCCCCCCTGCCCTGGGCAGCCCATTCCAACGCCCAACAACCCCTTCTGGAAATAAATGCTTCCTAAGAGCCAGTCTGACCCTGCCCTGGTGCAGCTTGAGGCCATTCCCTCTTGTCCTGGCACTGGTTCCTTGGTTCAAGAGACTCATCCCCAGCTCTCTGCACCCTCCTTTCAGGTAGCTGTAGAGGGCGATGAGGTCTCCCCTCAGCCTCCTCTTCTCCAGACTAAACCCCCCCAGTTCCCTCAGCCGCTCCCATCAGACCTGTGCTCCAGACCCTGCACCAGCTCCGTTGCCCTTCTCTGGACACACTCGAGTCATTCAATGGCCTTTTTGGAGTGAGGGGCCCAGAACTGAACCCAGTCATTGAGGGGCGGCCTCACCAGTGCCGAGCACAGGGGATTTATTCTGCAATTATTCTCGGGTGTTTTTTTTAAGGTCTGAGCTTTGTGGAACTTCAGTATGTAATTTAAAGAAGTAACTGAACAAAAATTTAAGTAAGTTTTCTATGTAGTATTTCTAGCTCTTGAGTATACAACACACTAAGGTTAGACAAATGGAAATTTATTCATTATATATGCTTTGGCAAGGTGACTCCTGATTAATAAATCAATGTATACCTCTTCATTTTCTTTATTATTCAAGAAAATGCATTTTTATGAGGGTGCTTCTAGAATATTAGTATATTCCTGTTTACCAAGTCATTATTAGTTCCTCAGCTTTCTTCAGTTATATTTGAGGTGACATATTTTGATTAATTTACACCTTAAATTAATGGAATGGATTTTTTTTTTTTTTCCAAACTGTTCCTTCCAGGCTCCTGAATGGTTTAGGAGTACTGTTACTGACACCACTGTACTGTACTAGGTCTGATTTTTAACAGCTGAATGTCATCAGTCCACAGACAAGTCTCCACTCTCTTAGGTGTTTTCCTTGGTTCTCTACTATACGGTTCAAATGGATTTTTCCCTTTGCTCTCTCTTTTTCTTCCTTTGAATTTGAATGAGGTGAAATAGTCCTTCAAGCTTGTTGGCCACTGCAGGAAGAGAAAGTTCACTGAAAAAAACTAGGGAGACTTTCTTCTCTCTTTATTTCCTTTTGCCTAGATCACTCCCAGCCTGCTGCAATTGTAGTGAGCCCTGCAACTGAGACCTAGAGACCTATTTTAGGAGTACACTTGGTGAACTGGGAGTGTTGAGGGGTTTTGTTGTAAAAGTGATGTACTTTGATAAGCATGTATGAATTGAAATTTTTCAAAATGTTGTAATTCAGCCAGATTTTTGAGAGCTAATTAAAACTCTGTCAGTATCAGATTTTCAGTCTTGCTTTCAAGTTGTGAATTGAGGGAGCATTAAATAATAATAAAAACATTGTTTTCAAAATGGGATAAGCAATGTGTCCTTTCATGAATTATTCCAAATTATTTTGGCTAAGCTGAGAGCAGCTGCTTAAAACAAAAGCTTGAAACAAATATTCAGTTTTTATAAAATCATAGACAAAACAGTTAAAGTTTGGCTAAGTTCAAGACAACTGAGAAGTGGGTTTTATAACAGAAATTGTCAGCCAGTTCTGATAACAGATGATGCTTCCACAATTACTCTCAGTAATAAGAATTAATGGTCAGTGTTTTGTTTAGAAATGAAAACACCGGAAATCTGTTGTATTGTTGCCTTTCTTCTTAACCTGTTGTAGGGTTTTAATACTTTGATCATCCTTTGTGTCATGTTCATAATCTTTAAGAAATAATACTAAGAATAGCTTTAATTTTATGTCAGAATGGCTTTGGATTTGCATAGACGAAGGTTTTGTTTAGACACTTTAAAATATCTTCTCTACCAAGGAAGCTTTTGTAGTCAGAGGAATCAAAGCAAATTTTCATCACCAACCCATGCCTCCCACTCACACTCATTACCAGCTCTCATTTCTACCTTCAGTGTATCTGATGTGCATTTTGCAGCTGAAAATAAGAGAGTAAGGAGCACAGCTGTGATGTGAAGGGCTAGTTATCAGCATACAAATAACCTTAAGTCATGCAAAAATCTCAGTGGCTAAAGGGAGCAGGAGGTGGCACAAAAACGTGTCATAGTATTCTTAAAATAGGAGTATTCAGAGCATGAAATAAAAAAAGAAAGCCTCACTTGGAGTCCTCATTGGTGGACTTTCAGTCTGTTCACAATAAAAGCTCATGTATTCTTTTATGTTAGATTACCACAATCCCACAGACAGTTGAGTTCTGTTTAGATGAATTTGTAAGCTGTGCTGTAGAAGTGGTGTATACACTTAGTATAAAATGAGTACAGTGGAAAAATTAGATAGTCTTGAAGAGCTTCTGTAAAAAGGGATCTGATGACAAGCTAAAGACATCCCACCTGAAAACCTAACTCTGCAGAACAGTCAGCTGCAATTGATCCTTATGCTCAGGTTCAAGTGAAAAATTGATCCTTATGCTCAGGTTCAAGTGAAAGATACGCAAATAAGGGAAAGCTGTTGACAGATTAATGAGTCTGGTAGTTTCCACTCTGGATTGTTAATTTGCTGATGCTTATATAGAGAAATGCTATACGAAAGAACCTGCAGTGTATTTTGGCTTGGCAATACTAATTGCCAAGCTAACTGGCTGAGTTTAGCAACACTAGTTCTAGATCTTTCCCAGTGTGCCCCCTGTAAATTTGTTACATGCCTTGAGTCCTCTGATAGAAATGAAGCCAGCTCTTCTAGGTACCATATAAATAAATACATAACCTCCTTCAGACTTCTTCACAGTTTTGGTGTGTGCAACAAAATGGGAAGGTGGAGCAGGCTTACGGCAAGGGTAAGAAAGGCTGTTTTCTTCCCATCCTCACAGAATCTGTGCTTATCTAGTTGTCATCTTTAGAATTCTCCCTCTCCGGGTGTCTGCTGGTTGACTCAAACTCTGAACAGGGGACAGAGCACAATCTAACATACTTGTGGTAGGATAATAATCAGTGATCATAGTTGTTCTGCTTAGTCTACAGATTTATTCTTTCCACTCATAAGGAATTAACATTTTATGAATAAAAGCTGTCTGTCTTCCTTAATATTACATATTTGGATGGATGCTTGCTTTCAGATTGAATGGTCCTGGAAAGCAGCATATTGGAGGGGGGAGGAAGAAATCAAGATGAGTATCAAAGCTATCGCTGCCACCTTTATATAAGAAATATGTTGTAAATAAATGCTACAAATATAAATTCACACATTCTGTAATGGGTGGCAGTCAACTTTTTATTTCCAGACTTCAGAAAGTTACTTTTATGTATTAGAAACATCTTTTTTTTAAAATAAATATGGCTTTTGAAATACTTATAACAGAGTTCTCCATGGTTGAAAACCTGGTATCAAGAAAGCGGGGAGGCCGTTTACTGTCTTTTAACACCAAAACCCAAGGTGCAAGTTTCATAATCATCAAATCAATTATTGGAGGCCAAAGAATAGGAGATGCAACATCTCTTAAACAGGAAAAGGTTGCAAATAAATTATGTAATTATTTGCCAATGGGAAGAAAATTTAACCTGCTAATCATTTGAATTTTGATTTATTAGAAGGTGAAACTGCTGATTTTTTGTTTTGTTTTTGGAATGGGTGTTATACACAAGCATTTTTCTGTTGTGTACGTTGGAAGTTTCTGCTGTATATCTAGCCACAAAAAGCATTCTTATCAGGAGGATAATGTGGGGTAGATTTGTAGTTAAAAACATTGTTCTCACTGACAACTTCTGTGCCTTCTAGTTAAAGATGTAAACTGAGTTTAAAAACAAAACAGACAACAAACAAACAAAAGTCCAAGGACCTTTCTTTCCTGACAGACACGTGTTGATGAAACCATGACCCAAGTGACTGAAAGGTTTGAGGGAGGCAGTTCTGGTGTTGGAACTTCTTGATGCTTTCTGCTGGGAGAATTGGCTGCTTTTAAAGGAAATTACAAAGAAAATGGTGTAACATCTAGCGGGGGGGCAGGATGGGACGAGGAAGAAAGATAACTCATGTACCTGTCATGATTAGAAAAATAAAAAAACAAAACCAGCAAAACATAGGCATATCTGCTATCTTCAAGGTTATCCCACCTTCTTAACGATTATAGGAAGCAACTTGAACACAAAGGGGGGGGGAAGAAATAAAGAAGCTTTTAATTTGTCAACAGGTTTTTATTCAACAACATAGCTCAGATTGAAAATATATAGGCAGCCGTGTTAATAGCTTGGCAAACAGTTCCAGGATTGTTTTCTCAGACGATAAATTCAGGACTGTCGAAGTCATTTTGGCAGGATTAATTTCAATTATCCAACTGTAAATATCATCAGAGATTTACAGCCTGATCTCTGATATGCAAATCAAACTGAACATCATATATCTCATGTAAACACAGGCGGTTATTTAGTTTTGCAAACATATGCTGTAGACTGTATGTTAAATGCAAACATTGTTATTTATGCTTTAAGCTTGAGAAATTATTTGCACCAAATTCAGAACATTCAGAATTTTTTTTTTTCTCTTTTATCCATTGTATATTCATTGGACCAGTTCTCCATTTTTCTTTGGTTTCTTTCATCAGTGCAAAATTAGGCCACAGA